GATTGTTATTATTATGTACTTCCTTCAGACTATTATTTTTGGATTGTTATTATTATGTACTTCCTTCAGACTATTATTTTTGGATTGTTATTATTATGTACTTCATTTAGACTATTATTTTTGGATTGTTATTATTATGTACTATAAACAAACAACAACATCTCAAACAAACAACAACTTTTACATGGTAAATCAAAAGATAACAACAACATACCAAACAACAACATACCAATCAAAAGAAATACAACAACTTCTACCACCTCTCAGCCACGTCTATTACCTCTACTTCCTCTTCTACCACCTCTCGTACTTCGTTGGCCACCACTCCCTCCTCGGTTGCTCCCACTCCCACTAGCTTGGCCACCGCAAGTTGATGCATTATGTCCCGCTTGGTTACAGTTGCTGCACACTTGGTGTGATGCACCCTCCCTTGGCCAGTCCATCTCGTTGTGAATCCTTGTAACTCGTGGCCTCCCCGGCTTCCTAATCATGTGCACATTAGGATGGAGAATAGGACCATTATGCTTCTTCCAACCCTTAGGTTCACCAAGAGGTGCGAAACTTGTCCCATAACAAGCCATAACTGTTTCCAGCTTGTAGACATTGTTGACAAACCTATACGCATTAGCCCCCATTCGGTTGCAAGCTGCAATGGCATGAGAGCAAGGAATTTTATTTCCTTGAAATTTACCACAAGTGCAAAATCCTGCCCGGTTTTGATCGTCAAAGTGAACTGTGAGTGTGTTTGACCCTGTCATGTTGAAATTGTTGGGAGGAGTCTGAACTACATAGATGCCTTGACCTCGATCAAGAGCTGTCACAGAATGTCCAATTGCCTTTTGTGACCTGTACTTCATCAGCTCTTCGCACTTGGTGGAGTACTGTGAACCGCCACTTCTAATTTCTCCTCCTGTCTCCAACCTATACTTATCGAATTTCTCCACCAATCGCCAATAGGTATGCTGCACAAGAGAAGCTATAGGAAGTGCACGAATATCTTTGAAAATACCATTGACGCTTTCTGCCATGTTGGATGTCAGGATAGACCAACGACCCCCACCATTGTAGTTATCATGTGCTAAACTCCAACGAATCTGATGTTGATCCACCCAGTTATCACATGAAATATTTCTATCAGCGGCCACCTTCTTAAATTGCTCAACTTGACGATCAAACTTCTCCAACCGTTTTTCTCCGGCTAACAAAATAAACCACAACACGTGTTAGATAAATTCATGACAAAATTACATGAAAACAAATAACAAAATTAAATGAAGAAAGCTTACCGACTCGAAATAGTTGATTATACATAATTTTGCTTTTAGTCTTCCTTTGCAAATTGCTTGCATAGTGTCACATGCACCACCTCCACTCCCAACCTCTTCCGATGTTATTCATGGCTTCATAGAGTCCTGCATGTCTATCTGAGAAGATGCATACATCATTTCGATCAGTCAAACCCTGAACCTTCCTCATGAACCATGGCCAACTCTCAGTATTCTCGCTCTCCACTATGGCAAATGCAATTGGAAAAATCTTCCTCCGGCCATCAAATGAGCTCGCCATGAGTAGCACTCCTTTATACTTCCCAGTAAGAAATGTTCCATCCACAACCATGACGCCTGGACAATTCTTGAATCCATCTATACAAGGTCCATAAGCCCAGAATACTCGTTGAAATATTGAATGACCTGGTTGAGCCGAAGGAACTCTTACCCAATCAATCACCGATGTTGGCATTTTTCTCTTGACCACCCGCAAGAATGTTTGCAAAAAATCGTAGGATTCTTCCCAATTTCCATGCAGCTTCTCCAATGCTCTTTGTTTCCCATACCAAGCCTTCTTGTAAGTAACTTGCATATTAAACTTATCTTTCAACTCGGGTTGAACAGTTAGAACACTCAGATTTGGTTGGGCACGTACCAAATGTTTGACGGCCTCAGATATCATGTCGACATCAAGATGGCGATGATCCGTCGGTTGAGTCGTACTGCCACAAGAATGCACCAACTCAGTTTTTCTCATAGTCCATTCGCCCCAACATCTCGACATCCAAACCGCAACATCCAAGGACAATTGTCATCCTTGTGCCTCAAGCATCTGACCATCCATATTGAAGGTGACGACTCCACCACGCCATATTGAAAGTTGCGTTGTAGTGCATGGTGTTTAATCGCCATTTGTGCAGCTTGTTTCGAGTGAAATATCTTCCCCTTGTAGAATTCTCCTTCAAAACTATCAACAATAGGCATTGGAATTACGCCATATGAATCAGCAAGTGCAAATTCTTCGTCCTCTTCATTACCCTGCAAGTAAAAATATGGAGGATAATTAAGCTGCTCTCCTTCCTCCTCCTCCTCCTCCTCCTCCTCCTCCTCATCTTCCTCCTCTCCGTCATCACCGTGATCATAGTCATGATCGGATGGCACGCTCCATGTATCATCTTCTTCCTCTCCACCCTGATCCTCACTGAGCTCAACATGTATCTCAGCACCCAAACAATAAGGATTTTGTGCCATAAAATTCCAAAGCACATCCAAGCTATCATCATCCACAATAGGTAACGCATAATGAAATAAAACATCATTCTGCCATTCTGGAAGACGGTAAGTGAAACCTGTGATCACATCACTATCTTTTACTGCTTCGTCTCTGCGCCGTATTCTCGGAATTAGAGTCTCACAAAGTTTGTGATATGTGACTCTGGATGGAACCGTCAACTGAAAACTACTACCACCAACGAATTTGACGCCCAAATTATCCTCTACTTTCTCCGATTTCCACCGAACAACTAGTTCAAATCTTCTAAAATCACTACAAAAAAACAAACTCACTAATTAAAAACTAAACACAATCATAATAGCATTTGAATAATATAATTACAAAAATAAATGTGTCTCTTACCTATTAGCCATTTTTGCAGCAGCAACCAGAGCTCTCTCCTCTATTTTGGACGATTTTTTTTGTGGTGTGAATCTGAAACGAAATAGTCTGGGTTTTATAGGGTGGGTGGCCAATCCACCTACTCGCCTGAGTCTCGGGCGCCACCGCCTGAGTCTTGATTTCCCACCTACTCGCTTCAGTCTCGGGCGCCGCCGCCTGAGTCTCGGGCGCCACCGCCTGAGTCTTGAGCGCCGCCGCTGCCAACTAAATAAAACGGTCCAAAACCAAGCTGAAGCGGCAGCGCCTGAGTCTCAGGTGTCCCCGCCGATTCTTATCACTAAAACACAATATCTTTGTCAATAGTTTTTAACTGGCCTTATTCGTGGTAAATTAAAAAAAAACAATATTTCTGTCATTAACCCTTTTGTTGTAGTGAAGTAGAGACATTGTAGGAGATCATGTGAAATACGACCCTTAACATTATTTTAGGATGACATACTAGAGTTGTGAGTTTCTCAAACGATATGAAAAAAATATTAATGGGCCTGGATTTTGGTCCAAATATAAAGTTGCATAATGGCCCATCCCAATAGATGCCCATGCCCATACTACCATTCCCAACCTTGATCTGCCGTCAAAAGATTTAAAGTTGCAGAATGGCTCATCCCAATAGATGCCCATACTACCATTCCCCCTATTCCCAACCTTGATCTGTCGTCAAAAGATGGCAACAAAAGGTCATGCTTTCCGTTGGCGGGACTTGAACCCGGGTCTCTCAGGCGAGAGCCGAGTATCCTGACCAACTAGACTACAATGGAATGATGGTAGGATTACGTACTCAAACAATATTATTAAAGGAAACTCTGCCCCCCCCCCCCCCCCACCCACATACACAACCTCAGATGTCCATGAAGCACTCTCATGAAATTTGAACCAATATCCTCTTTGAAACCTGCCTTTTACTGCGGTCATATTGTACAGAAATCATTCATGAATCATGATGATATCTAGTTTTTCCAACGTTTGTTCTATACAAAGATAAGTCTCTCCGAAAAAACCGAGGACATGTCGCCGGTATTTGGAATGTGAACCGTTGTGAGGGATGGGCACGTAGTTGAGGTATGTCACACGCTGCCACATTCGAATCTGACCAGTGGTAGGTTTTCGTACTCCAAGTATTGCCAAGATCCATTGAGCCAGATCCATGGGATTAGACGTTTGGACAGGTCTACTTCAACAGCAATTAGGACATACCAGGCACGTTTTTTTATGTTTTGTATGATAATCTAGCTTTATTGTACGTCCAATCAAATTGCCCACCGCGAAGAGAACCTCCTTGTGATATAAATGGATTAGGAACGTTGGAAGTTAGGCCCACACAACCATCCATCTCGAGAGTTCGTCTCTCAGACATAGAGCTGGAGTCTATTGTTGAACTATCAGCTAATGATCAAATATGGTCCAACGTCCGTCCGTGAGAGCACGAAAATAGTCATGTTCATTGCTTTAACTTCACCAAGAAGACATTTTGTCCTTGTCCCAAAATCTCCAGGTTGTCGGAGGGTCGTCATTGTGCTCGGATCTTATTGCTTAGGCCTTGTTCACTTTCATTTTCGTTTCCAGTTTTCTGTTTTCATGTGATAAATTTGGCAACCGAAATGAGAAAACTTGTTTACTTTTCATTCTGTTTTCTATTCGTTTCCAACTATGAAAACAGAAAGTGGCAACTTCCTGCTGTTTTCGGAAACGAAAAAATGTTGTTTTCACCTGTTTTCAACATATGTTTTCTTAAAAACAGGAAACAGAAATGAAAGTAAACAGACCCTTAAAATTGTAAAAGAGTAACAACTAGTTCGTAAGCGTCGGACCACCAAAGTACGCTGCCATGACGCACAAAATCTCGTATTGAGACTATCAGAAACTCGGTTCATCCTTATGCTAATCTGGAACAAGATGGTGCTCTCCAAATTCAAATGCTTCTATCCAAATTCCTAAACACACTCTTATAATTTTTACCCATTATTTTTGCGGAAAAGCCAAAGATAGAGTCTGTCGACTGTCTGTCCTAAAATTAAGCAAAAAAAGTATAAATTTCGATTCCTTGACGATCCCAGTATATCTCCATGGCTTGATCTTGGAGTCTCCACGTGTCAACAAGACAGCCACGTGGTCTCACCAGGGTGCCGCTATTGGTTTTCTTCTCGTCACTCGTCGGTCCATATGATCCCACATGACAAAATAACTCCTCCAGTCTCCAAATTGAACTTTTCTCCTCCTCTCGAGCCTTCCCGTTTTCCAGTTTCGCCCGGGGCACCGAAACACCCGCCACGCCGAACAGCCATGGCTTCCTTGAGCTCGCTCTACCCTCCGTCGCTGTGTTCTTGCTCTTCCTCTGGGTCTTCGATCCACGCCAGAAATTCGATCGAATCGAGACTAGCTCCATCCCTTTCTCGACACACAAACCACCGTCTTCTCGCCGTCAGCTCTTGCCGTCCGAGGAGGACGAGGGGGAGCTTTGTTCTGAGATCGGCCCTTGAAGACACCTACGTCCTCGAACCACCGCCGCCCGCCCTCCCTTCTGCTAGCAGCGCTGAACGTATCGACTGTTTGAAGCTCAAATTGCTGGTGAGTTTTTCATTTCTCCTGAGTCCGGCCAATTCCTTGCCCCATATCTTTATAGTTCGTTCTTGAATCTCTTGTGAATTCCATCGCTTAGCGATTCTGAATTCTTCCGATTGCTTCGATGAACGTATCCGCTAGCTAATCCCTGAATTGGTTTAGGTTTTACTTTGTTAATTGATTTGCCGCACACATGTTCCTGTTATTGTTGCTTGTTAGGTTTAACTGAGTTTGTGGGCAGGGGTTCAATTTTCCGATTTCATGCTTGATTTCGCCATTTCGGTATCAGATAATTAGGGCTCACCTTTCATTTGGTCAGTTCTGTCCCTTGTGGGAACGAAGAAACAGCCTATACATTTAGGCAGTAGGTATTTGAAATGTAGATATGCCTGTGTTTCCATTGGGAAGTTTCCTTGGGTTTCTTTCAGCCGAAATTGTGTGTGTTTGTGTTGATTACAATGCAGGGTGTGGTTTCTGGGCTCAACCGGGGTCTTGCTGCAACTGAAGATGATCTAAAGAAGGCAGAAGCTGCAGCCAAGGAGCTTGAAGATGCAGGAGGACTAGTGGACCTCGCATGTGACTTGGATAAGTTGCAAGGGAGATGGAAGCTTTTGTACAGCAGCGCCTTCTCTTCTCGAACTCTAGGCGGAAGCCGTCCTGGTATCCCCACCGGAAGACTGTTACCCGTCACTCTTGGCCAGGTTTGTGTACTGATGATAGTGTTCAATCTAGAGTCTAGACTGTGTTCCTGCATCTCTTTGGGTTGATTCATTGATATATGAATGAATGGTTGACTATCCTTTTGCCACTTTTTTTGAGTTTGAAGCTGTCCTGCTTTCTGCGCACAGGTTTTCCAACGGATAGACGTCGTGAGCAGAGATTTCGACAACATAGCTGAGCTTCAATTGGGTGCTCCATGGCCATTGCCACCAGTTGACTTGACTGCAACTTTAGCCCACAAGTTCGAACTCATAGGTGAGACTTGGCTGTTCAGCTTCTTAGTTACCTCAGTCCCACTAATTGTTGGTAACTTATGTTAATCGCTGAGTGATTGGATACAGAACAGAATATTGAACCCAGTTTCCTCTACTTGTATCATGATTATGAACAGGATCGGCCAAGATCAAAATCAACTTTGAGAAAACAACAGTGAAGACGACGGGTAACTTGAAGCAGCTTCCTCCGCTGGACATCCCTAAGCTACCAGAGGCTCTGAGGCCTCCATCAAGCCCGGGGTCTGGAGACTTTGAGGTCACCTTCCTCGATGGTGACACTCGGATCACTAGAGGGGACCGTGGCGAGCTTAGGGTGTTTGTTGTCTCATGATTTATGGAACATTGGGCAGTGAAATGACACCGCTACTCCATCAATATGTTTCCTAGTTTGTGTATGAGAGAATCATCCGCAGCTGTTGATGTATACAGTTCTTTTTTCTGTGTTTTGTGGAGTTTTGTATAGTGTAACACTCTGCAATCTGCATATGTCATGGCGCAATCAGTGGGCCGAGTCTGGACAATGGACGATATGTGCAATATGGTTTGAGTGCTGCTTTGATGGTATGAGCAAATGGTCTGTCGCAAACTCGCAATGTCAAGAGATGTTAATTTTATAAGGGTGTTCATCAGCTGAAGAACTGTGCATTCTTGCACGTTTTGGTTTATCGATTTTGCTTTTTGCTGTAAAAAAATAATGTAACTCATCAGCCCTAATCTATTTGGTAGACTGATATGGCGGCAAAAATATTTAATCTCTGCCATTGGTTAAGCAGATGGAAATTTGGACGCATTTTAGTAGGGGTAGTATTCCAATGGATTAGCTTGATTCGTTTGGCAACATAATATTTGGGTAAATGTCACATTTGATCTGGGTAATCATTGTCATTGAGATTATAAATCATGCCATGTTTAGTAAATAAAAAAATTTAATATTAAATTTGGTCACTCGAATTACTGAAATAGGTCATATTTAGTAACTCTCCCGATAATCTCCATCTAACTCCAATCACTTGAATTACTGAAACGTGTCACATTTAGTCACTCGAATTATTGAAACATGTCACATTTAGTCATTCTCCAGTTAGTTTCTGTCCAACTCCATTAATGAAGTTGGGCGGAAACTAACGGGAGAGTGACTAAATGTGGCGTGTTTCAGTAATTCGAGTAACCAAAATTGATATTGAAATTTTTTAGTGATTAAACATGACACGATTTAGTAATTTCAGTGACCAAATGTTGCATTTACTCCATAATATTTGAATGAAATAATTTGGCTGGAAATTTTGAATTAATTCATTTTGATCCCATTACAATTGGCTAGAATGATGATAGACAATGCGAATTAATTTGTTTTAAATCATTCATTTTATAAAATGAGATAATCGATTAAGTTGTTTCATTTTTCGGTTGATTCATTCAATTTGAATCTCTGTACTCATCCCAAACTACTATAATTGCTTCAAAAGAGCCAATTTGAAAATTTTCGACTAAATTGTTTCATCTAAAATTTGCCAACCCGAATTCTTCATCCAAATCGATGTCAGTGTTCGATTTCATCAAACCGGTCAAATTTTAATATGAAGTAGCATTAGTGGATGGGCCAGAATCGAAATGGGCCCGATTGGATCCAATGATTTCGAAACCATCTCTTCACGGGAAAGAAAAGCAATAAGCAATCACGGAGCGGCGGAGAGAGAGATACACTCAACTCAACTAGCGAACTATCCGTTAGACTCTCCAACGGCTACATACAGTTTTCTCATTTGAAACTTCAGAGACACCAAAACCCCAATCTTCTTCCAAACTCTCTGCTTCGAGCTTTCTCCCGTCTCTTTGCTCTTCCTTTCCTCTTTCCCTCTCCAGTTCATTAAGCTTCTGATCTCCCATTTTCTTTCTCAAATTCTAGCTTTTCTTTCAAAATTTCCCAAAAATTCCGCCCAAAGATCCAAGGTTTGGCCTCTTTCGATTCTGGCTTAGAGATGGCTCCTACGCCATCTTCTTCCTCCAAACCGCACCCTACCCACCACTCTTTCAAGACCCCTCTATCCAAACAGCGCCTCAATTTCGCCTCCGCTCGCACTCCTAACCACCAACCCTCACCAAACCCTAATTCCGCCGTCAAGGAAATCCAGCCGATCGATCACCCGATCGAGGTGATCGGCCGCATCAGGGATTTCCCCGACCGGAAGGAGAAACCTGCTTCAGTCTTGAACGTGAATCCCGACGGTGAGACGGTTAGAGTCCGGGCGGAAATCGGCTACAGGGACTTCACCCTCGACGGAGTTTCATTGTCCGAGCAGGAGGATCTCGATTCCTTCTACAAGAAGTTCATCCAGTCCAGAATTACCGGGGTGAAATTGGGGGAGAAGTGCACGATTATGATGTACGGGCCGACGGGTTCTGGGAAGAGCCACACGATGTTTGGGTGTCCCAAGCAGCCAGGGATAGTGTACAAGGGTTTGAAGGATATTTTGGGGGAAGGAGGAGAAGAGAAAGGCAGCCATGGGGAAAAGCTGGGGATGATGGCTACTTTCGTACATGTCACTGTTCTGGAGATATATAATGAGGAAATTTATGATCTTTTGTCCAGTAATGGTGGGGCTGGAGGGTTTGGAATTGGGTGGCCTAAGGGTGGCAGTGCCTCAAAGGTAAGAAAGAGTTACCATGACTCTTGTGTTGGAGCCTCTGCTGGGCTTTCCTTGCTTGCTTTTATTGAGTTGGAAAGTTTGGACATGCTGGTCGTTCCCCTGGTTTTGGGTTTGAATGGGACTTCCTTCATCTTGTAGCTGCTGTTCTTGTTTGTGGAACTAACATTGTCGATATCTTCTTTACTCTATGCGAACTTTCTGATAAGCTTTTTGCTTGATTTATTGAGTTGGAAAGTTTGGGACTTGCTGTTCTTCCCACAGTTTTTTGTTTGGTTTAAATGGGTAGTTTCTTCATGTTATAGCTCTTGGTTATGTTTCTGTTTGCTGAACTAGTATAGTTGATAGCTTCTTTACTGTCTCCTTGCTTTTACTGTGTGAGAACATCTGTGGCAGCTAGATGGATTTGACGCGGCGAACTTTAGGGATCATTCTGTCCTTATAAGCAGAATCTGGGTTGTTAATCCTGTTCCTCTCAGTTGAAATAACACGGTGGATGTTCTGTATAGTACTCTCCTTATTTTTACTGTATGATCTAGCTCCCGGTCAGGTGAAATCCTTGGTGTTCATTATTTCCTTATGAGCTGATCCTGTGTTTGTCAATGCCAATTTTGCAGGCAAGACTCGAAATAATGGGAAAGAAGGCGAAAAATGCCACTTTCATATCTGGGTCTGAAGCTAGCAAGATTCTGAAAGAGATTCAGAAGGTGGAGAAGAAGAGGATTGTCAAGAGCACTCTCTGTAATGAAAGAAGTTCCAGAAGTCACTGTATGGTATGTATGAATTCTTTCCGAGGGTTCATGAAATTGAATGTAATGCCTAATTCCTTTCTCACTTGGAAAAATCACTTGTTTCTCTTCATCTTTCCTTTCATATAGATTATCCTAGATGTTCCAACAGTGGGAGGCCGCCTGATGCTTGTAGACATGGCAGGATCAGAAAACATTGACCAAGCTGGGCAAACTGGCTTTGAGGCTAAGATGCAGGTAGGTAAAGTTGGCAATTCAAAGTTGCCTTGATTGTTAAAAAGAAAGGTTGTCTTAAAGTTGTTCTAGAATCAATCTAAGGGAGTTTTGAGATTCACTTCATTTGGAATAAACAGACAGCCAAGATAAATCAAGGGAACATAGCACTAAAACGGGTGGTTGAGTCAATTGCAAATGGAGATTCTCATGTGCCTTTCAGAGATAGCAAGTTGACTATGCTGCTCCAGGTAAAAACTTCCTCAGTTTTGACATGGGGTGAAACATCTGCTTTCTTTGGCTTTGGATTTTTAGTTTCTCTTTTTACTATGGTGCAGGATTCTTTTGAAGATGACAAGTCAAAGATTCTAATGGTTCTTTGTGCAAGTCCTGATCCAAAGGAGATCCACAAGACAATCTGCACTCTCGAATATGGAGCTAAAGCAAAGTGCATTGTACGTGGCCCTCATACCCCAATTAAAGATACTGAGGACTCTAGTTCAGTCGCGTTAGGATCTAGGATAGCAGCCTTGGACGAGTTCATCTACAAGCTGCAAATGGAGAACAAGGCCAAAGAGAAAGAGAGGAGCGAGGCACACAGACAGCTCATGAAGAAAGAAGAAGAGATAGCTTCCTTAAGAGCCCAGATTGCAGTGAGAGAAGCTATAGTTCCGAGTGAAGAAGAGATCAACGTGAAGGTGAATGAGCGAACACAGATGATGAAAATCGATCTGGAGAGGAAGTTACAAGAATGCCAGAAGGCAGCTGAGAAGTTTTTTGAGATGGAGAAGAAGAGGATGGAAGAGAAGATATTGCAGCAGCAACAAGAAGTTGAAATGCTGAGGAGACGACTGGAAGAGTTTGAGCTGGAGGCAAGTCGTCCTAAGGTTAGCGGGTTGGAGCAAAGGGATGCTGCAAATGAAGTGGGTGGTTGCAGAAGTAGCTTTGCAAGCAGGCTGTTGGGAACTTGTGGTGGAGACGATGAGGCAGGGATGGTCAAATCAATGGATCTGGACATGGGGGATCAAGAAGTCTTTGTGCGCGAGGTTAAGTTTGTAGACTCAGCTTCTCAGCCAGGAAGCAACATTGACAGTCCTTATTTCCCTCCACAGACTGATGCATTTGGAACGAACTATGGTGATAAATTTAATCTCAGCACAGTTTTTGAAGAGGAAGAAGTGGATGAAGAAGATGATGAACAACAGAAGATGGACGAGGAGGAAGAAGAAGAAGTTGAGAAGAAGGTTATAGAGGTGGAGGAGTGGAAGAAGCAATCGAGTCAGGGAGAGGACAACAGCAAACTGAAGGACGACGACATGTCTGAGGCTAGCAGGAGATTAAGAATTCAAAACATATTTACACTCTGCGGAAACCACAGGGAGCTATCCCATACCCAGACTCAGACCAACAGTACACCAGTGGCAGCTGCTGCTAAAGGGTTTCAGGAGGTTTGTTCTGAGAAGGAGAACAACAACCCTCAACTCCCATTAACTCCACTTCTAGATTACAACAAACTCCCACCACTCACACCAGGTTCATGCTTGTCTTCTAAACAGAAGATAATGCAAGAAGGGGATGGTTTCTCACCTGAAGTTGAGCACCTAAGATCCACTCCGTTCATTACTAAGAGAAAGGCTCTACACTGATGGTCTGCTTTCTTATCCTGTTTCCCCTTTTGTATCTTGGGGCAATTTTCTCGAGTATATGTGCCCATGTACTCCTGTTTATGCAAGTCTCACTTTTGTAGCGTGGAATGCTTCTGTGATGTGATCATTTTGATTGGAAATGGGATCCATTGCTGTCATCAACTCGCATACTAGAATGCAAGAGCATCCCACCATTCAGTCCTTGCTTCCATTTCGATATTTGCATTGAACCCTCAAAAGGGTTCACTTTATGTCATTGTGTTTTGCTTCACAGTTGGAGGCTTTGGCCAATAAGCAAATTGACAACAGAAAAGATTTTTGGTTCTCGCACACAGGGTGGTGGGGGTGATGAAGAAGTACAAATTGAATGATTCCATTCTATTATCATCTCTCAAAAGAAGTTTACAGGAAACAGTAAACAACTCATTTCCTCTCTGGCTTCTCCAACTCCTGGTAAACTTTACAATGTATATATACCTTTCTCCAAATTGATACAAAGCTCTAGCTACGGTGATGCAAAATAAAGAAGAAAAAAAATTAAGAAAAAGCAAGAAACTTTTGAACAGCAACAAAAGAAATTAATTGTCAAAAAGAGAAAGAAAAAAAATTGGAGGGAAACAGAGGAGCCTTTCTTCTTTTCTCTTTAAACCCTTTCTCCGATCTCTAAAACCCATAAACAAATTAAACCACCGAAGTTTTTCAATTTTGTGTTTTTAATCATCTCATCACCTACCTTTCTCATTGGTAGGCGTCCAAAACTGAAGTTAGATGGCCGGCGGTGTTGCTCTTGGTGGAGCCACCGTCCGCCGTCGGGGGAAGCCCGTCGGCGGCAGCGGGATTTTCGGGCTGATCCTTCGATCGGGCTCTCGACTTTCGGGTGCGAGAATGCTTTGGAATGGATGGCTGGTCCTGGCCGGTGGGGGATTCGTCGCCGCCCTGGTTGGAGGATTTCTTGCTCTTCCTCGACTTGACGCTGCCGCCCGACGACTCCCTGGCCGGGGATCCCATGGCCAGGTTGTTGGAAGAGCGGTGGCGCCTCGACTTCCTCTCGCCGTCTCGGGCCTTGGGTGATCCCGCCGGAGAGCCAGCCGCACTGCTGGAGGTCGACGGCCGCCGCGAGTGCTTTGGCGCGTCGCTGGATGAGCGCCTTGACTTGTGCTTTGACTTTTGGGCTGGCCCGCCGGCTGGGGTCCACGAAAAAAAAAAAAGAGAAACGCCGTTAACCGTTATCAAGTAGCAATATGTAATTTGTCCAAACCTTTTGAAGGTGATAGATTATTAAAAAAAAAAACAGATATATATGTCCGTGTCCACTCACAAAATTTGTTTTAAAATATCGAATTTTGAATTTTAATTAATAACATTAGAACATAAGATGATTTAATATAGAATCAAAATTAATCAATGTATTAGTTATAAAAAAATAATTTAATCAAATAGTAAACCATAAACTCTAAACCTAAATCTCTAAACCTTAAATCATTCAAATTAAATAAGATCTTGAATATTTTTTTGTGCAAATTTATGAATTTTCTTGTTCCTCATATCATAAATGAAGATTAACTTCATTTTGTCATGAACCGTCTCTTCAAAATGATGGTTATGTTATGCACCAAAAAAACGCAAGAAAACTATATATAACTTTTATGGTTTCAAATTTTATGCTACTGAGTGTTTTGTTAATGATGATTTCACTATTTAAAAATATTACTCTTGTTATAGCTTCCTTTTATAGTTTTTGGTTTTTCGTCCTAATTATATTTTCATATGACGGCATAATTGAAATGACAAGACGTTTGACCGATTACGTTCGAATCTATAAGATCCATCGTTTGATGTTTCGATGAACCTTTACCATCACGTAATTCTGGAACATATATAACCCTTGTTCTTTCTATAATTTACTATCTAAGCCTATGAAATTTCTTAAGAACAGGAAGCCAGGCATGTATGAAGTGGGGAAAGGAATGACATGAGAGAACCTTCAGACTGTGCTTTTGGTGAAGGAAGGCTCTTGAGGTCATCTGTGGAATTCAAAGGGCCGCTCATAGACTCTGGGCTTGATTTAAACTCATTCATCTGCATAAATGTAAAACCCTTGTTCAAACCATAAAAACCATTTTTGATCTTTCAGTTTTGAGGTCTTTTGTCTTTATGTTTGTTGTCACAACTTTATTGAAACATAACATAGCCTATTGAAATCACAATAGTATGAGAACTATAACATAATGCAATGTGACATACCCAACTTGGAGTGGTGGAAGAAGGGCCATCACTTCCAATATGTGCTACATGTTTTACATCTGTGGGAAGCCCGATCTCGAATTCCGGCTCTTTCTCATCTACGCAAGAAAGAAAAAGATTTCAATTTTGGTATGCTAAGATAGAAAAAAGATCAACATGTCATGAAAAGAAAGGATAACATGACTCACCAAAGATGTTGTGAGAGATGGTATATCTAAGTCCTTTAAAGAGGCCTTTCACTTTTGTCGTCATTTTTATCTAGGTAAGAGAACCTCTTGTAGCAACAACTATAGACAGATCTGTAATTACAATACACCGCTTAGAGAATGTTGAGAAATCGAGTCAAGAAGAGAAAGCCATAGCAAAAGCAAGATTCTCGAAACATCATTCCCAAAGAGGATCTTGGTTACTTTGAAATCTCAACATTCTCCTCCCGAGAAACAAAAAAATCAAGATGATTGAGAAGTTCAGAGGATTGACTTCTCTCTCTTTTTCCACCTTTGTTTGTAGGTTTAGGTAATGAACTCAAACAATTCTTGATTGTTGAAGGCCATCAACAACAATCAAGAAGAGAAAGAGGGAGATTACTTTGGAATGCAAAGGAGCAAAAATCTCAAAATGTTGGATAAGGCTAACACATGAATTTTGTTGGTGGTGATGGGGTCAATGGGAAAAACACCAACACCTTTTTCCATTCTAAACTCATTCATCTTCTCCAATAGATATCCTATTTTTCAGCCACATTCATCATGTTGGCAATTGACTAATAAAAGCCATGATTTTGTCCTTTTATCTCCTCCCTTGCTTTTTTGTCTTGTTTCCTCAATACACCGAATATTGCATTTGTCATGAAAGTACAAAAACAGGCTTCCAAAAATTAACAAAAGTCGTATAATGATCGTTTACACGCATGATACACTTAAACAATAAATGTATAATTGAAATATTATTGTTACTTTGAATTCGAAAGTAGCACAATGCAAACTTAATTTTATGTCGTGTGGCGAGCCCATGCAACATATCTTCTTACAAAATATTAAAGGGGTTTGAAAAACCTTCCATGTAAGTCTTCAATGCTTCTTCACAGTTAACAGTATTTAGAAGAAAAAAATTTCAATAGTTTCCCTTTCCATTTCCTTTACTCTTTTGTCTTTGTTTCCTGGCGGGATTACTGATGCACACTGAATGTGTTCCAAGTAATAAAATCGGTGCTGACTAGCTATTATATACCCCTGGTTACACTAAGTGTAACCTAACTAGGGCGACATAGTCTAGTGGTTGACTAAATTCGTATCATCGGGGTCAGGAAGCCTATTGCTACTCGAAAGTTCGATTGCATGGTCCAATTGTTGATCCCGAAAATTTCTACAATTGTTATCTAGTCGACGACATAGGTTGTTTTAGACTTAACTGCTATACAAGCTTCAAGAAGGAGAAACGATATCTAGGGTTCGGTTCCCTCTCCTAACACATCAGGAGTTGCGTTGTAACAAACAAGTGATGATCAACTATAGCGACTCAAGGTGTGAGGATAACTAATATGGTAATTGAGGCAATGGTCGTGTCTCTCAATTTCCCTTCTAACTATATCAATCAACTCGATGACATATAATTGATCTCCATAGGGATGCAACTTTTCATCTTTAAATCAGTTTAAACCATAAGCACGCAACCCAAATGACTCAATAATCATGTAATCACCCAAGTTGCATCAATTGAGTAAGCCCCCTACTTAACCTAAGTGAACGATCCTCTACTCTAGGTTAAGCCTCTAAATTAATATCACATGCAATTAAACATGCATAAAGCATTAAACACATCAATTTAACAAGACATCACTATAATTAAATCATTCCATCCATTACAAGCAAACCCATAGGTTAGGGTTAGGAGGACCTTGCCCTAAATACATCAAAGTACTATCCCATAAATGAGGGAACTGAGACAAAGAAAGAAGGAGATGAAACATTAACAAAGACCTCTTGTTACGGGGGAAACTCACATGTAATCAATCCTTTTCTTTGAGCTCCTCCTCTTCTCTAAGTTAAACTCATAAACTTTATCTCTCTTCTCTCACTTCTGATATAAAAAAATCTTATCTCTCCCCTTTGGAGGTCTTCCTATATTTATAAATTTGAAGAATCTGGATAATTTCACAATTGTGAACATCATCAATGTCCCGTGAACTCAAAGTGACATCGTTCTTCCCTGATGTTGCCCGGAGATCACGACCATTAGTTTTGATCATGATTTTTCTCTCGATCGTGACTTATAACTCACTGCTCAGAAGATGGTCTGTGAATCAGAGCGTGGCACCTTCTGTGGTCTCGACTGTTGGAGTTCACAGCCTCAGGATAAAGCTGTTGATTGTATGTGCCTCCCATGAACTTGGGATCACAACCGAATGTTCTGGTCGTGATCTCCTCCGTTTTGCCTGCAAATTCTTCTCTCCTTTATCTTACACTTAAATATTTGATACCATACTGTCTTTTTAAATAGCTTAAATCCAACACATCTTAACCCGAACAAGTCCAAATATGATAGGAAGCATATATAACCTAACATGTGAGGTTTAATTCGGGTTAATTGCATGATTGGTCACCGAGATTATAAAAAAGTTCAAATTTGGTCACTCTAAATATTTAAATTCATTGGTGGTATTTCAGTTTACTGAAACCATTCACGTTTGGTCACTCTCCGTCCAACTTCGTTAACTTTAGCTGATGTGGCAGTCAACTCTCAAAGTTGACCGTTAACTTAGTGATGTGGCAATTAAGAAATAATAAATAAAATTTATTTTATTTTAATGTCCAACTCAGTTTTACTATAAAAATAAAAAAATAATAAAAGGAATATGTACATATCTAAAAATTTCATATCATAAACCCTAAAAAGAAAAAAGAAAAAAAACTCTGCTCCTCCATTGCATTTTTTAGGCTGTCAACCGGTCGGTTTCGGTTTAACCGAAAACCCGATTATCGTTTAAACCGAGCCACCCTACACACCTGCCGACCACCAACCGTGAGAGTGGTCACGGTTAGCCGGCCAACCGACCGGTCGGTTTCGGTTTTAGGCTCGGTTAGCCGACCAACAGGAAATTACCTTTTCTTAAAAAAAAATTAAAAATAAAAACAAAAAATCCTGCACCACTCAAACCTTATCTCATCTCTCCTTCCTTCCACGGTTCCACTTCCACCACAGACCACTTCTCTCACACCCACCAAACATCTCCTCCTCTCACCTTCTTCCTCTCACCAAACCACTTCTTCTCACACATTCTTTCTCTTCGCCGATCCTCAACGACGTCAACTGCACGCAGGTCATGGCCACTAGACCACTTCTCCCCGGGCCGCGAAGGAGGCGAAGGAGACCGGGAGCCCCTGCGTTGCGAGGCTGCAGCGTGTTCCCGCGGACGTCGAGCCGACGTGGTTGGCGATTCGAGGTGGACGCGAACGGCGGAGCGGAGGGCTGGGGTCGTCGTCGGGGTCGGAGGGTGGAGATGCAGAGGTACGGCGCGACGCAGCGGTTACCGCGATGGGAAGCATGCGGAGGGCGAGGTGCAAGGACGGCGACGCGGCGGCAGAGGCGAGGTGGACGGGGACAGTGGTGCGGCAGCGGCGAGGTGGACAGTGGTGCGGCGGCGGCGAGGTGGACGAAGGGGTGTGAGTTTTGTTTTTAGATCTAGGGTTTTGGGGAAGGTTATGTGAGTGGAGGAGGAGATAATGGACAGATTTTGGGAAAGTTAGGTGGGTCTCGGTTGGGGTCGGTTAATCACCGTCGGTTACTCGGTCAACCGACTCCTTCCTTTTCCCAGCCGACCACCGACCGCCAAGGTAACCAGTTGATTTTCGGTTAGCTTGTAACCGGCCGGTTTTCGGTTGTAACCGACGGTTACCCGCTAACCGGCAACCGAAATGCCAGCCCTAGCATTTTTCCCCCAAATCCCACTAGTTGTGCTCTTCACCATCTCCACGGTTTATCTATTCTCTAGAAAACATAAACAAAAAAGAACGGCCACTTGCCCCCTTCCCATTTATCTTCCATTCCTGATTTGCTTGTTTCTCTCCCAGAAAACGAGATATCCCTATCAGCTTTTGTCCATCGATTTTTCAATCCCTCACTCTCCCTATCCAAATATCACCATCCAAAACCTTTTCCCAAACCTCCCAAATCCCACCAAACCATTCCCGCTTGCCACCAAACCCGATCCTGGCGAGCCAACGGCATCCCGTGCCGTTCACCGATTCTCTCCATCCAAACCCCAAATGTCTCTCCAGCCGGCAGATCTTGTTGGAAATGTATATGAATAGCTTTGAAAGCTATAGAGTCTCTAGTGGAAAAACTACCACATTGGTAGTTTTACTTGGTGAAATGTGTATAAAGATAGGAGCCTCTCTCCCAAGGGCATGCCCCTTGGGGTGACCCACTTTTGTGGGAGAGGGAGGACCTAACGGACCACCACACACGCGCGCGCGCGCCGTCAGTCCGTCCGGTCGGTCGGTCGGTTGGTTGGTTGGTTGGTTGGTTCACTTGAGACTATATATATTTTTTTGGAGAAATTCCGAACGAAATTAATTATCTAATAATTAATTATTAATCTGTTATTCTGAGGTATATTCCTAAGGATAATCGACTAAAAAAGAATATTCGAAGGATAATCCCTCCGAGTTTATCTTAACCGACGTTTTAATTAAGGAAGTAATTATCTTCCTTAATTAATCCGACTTATTCCCCAAGCAAGAGGGTATATTCCTAGGGGTTCGGCTCCTATAAATAGCCGCCTCCCCAGCCCCTCTAAACACATCACAACGAGCATAAACACAATAGAGAGAGTGTTTAGAGAGCTTCGGTTTTCGCACAAAACCGCGAGTATTGAGAGGAGCTGTTTTATCCTGGAGACGACCGGTTGATAGTCTGCCGTGCGCATCAAAGGCAGTGCCGCGAACGTCTTAAAGAGAGCGACCTAGTCCGCGACTCAGCTCCAGATTCGGTAACCTCGTTCCTTTTGTTGTTCCGTTCTTAACAATTTTAAGACGTTCGACTGCTGCTATGTCGACTGAACAGAACAACATGGCCGGATCTGGTGCTGTCGATATCAATCGACCCTTCCACTTCGTTGGGGTCAACTTCCGTCGCTGGAGGCAAAAGATGGAGTTCTACCTGACGACCAAAAAGCTGGCCCACTGCCTCACCAGTATGCCCGTCGAGCTGCTGGAAGAAGCGACTGATGAGGAGAGGGCTGCTTCTGCCAAGGAAAGGGAGCATGACTTCCTGTGCAAGAACTACATCCTCAACGGCCTGGCAGACGATCTGTACGACTACTATGCGGACAGTAAGAACACCGCGATGATGATCTGGGATGCGCTCCAAAAGAAGTACGACACGGAGGAGGCTGGAGCTAAGAAGTATGTTGTCAGCCGCTACCTGCGCTACTAGATGGTGGATGACAAGTCCGTCGAAGTTCAGTCCCACGAACTTCAGAAAATAGCTCATGAGATCGTCTCTGAAGGTATGCCTCTGGACGATCAATTTCAAGTTGCTTGCATTATTGATAAGCTGCCCCCTTCGTGGAAAGATTTTAATAATATGCTTAGGCACAAAACCAAAGAATTTTCACTGGAAAGCTTGATTACTCGCCTAAGGATTGAGGAAGAGTCCCGCAAGCAGGATATGAAAGAAGAGGTGATGGTCGTCACTGCTAAACAACCCACCCCTAGAGCTCTTAAACCTAACCAGAAAGGGTTTAAGAGTAAGAACCAGCAGGTCCGCCCCCACCAGAATGGTGCCTCTCGAGGTAACCAAAGGGTCATGGCCCAAACCTCTAAGAATGACCCACCGTTTATCTGCTATAACTGTGGAAAACCGGGTCATATGGCAAAGAAGTGCCGGAACAAGCAAAACCCTGCCGCTGCGGCCAGGGTTAACTTGACAGAAGAGGATTTGATAGCCATGATCACAGATATGATCGCTGAAGTTAACCTCACCGGTGACTCAGAAGGATGGTGGCTGGATACAGGTGCATCGAAGCATGTATGCAACAATCGTGCTATGTTTAAAGCATACACAAAAGCACCTGCTGACAAGAAAGTGTTGTTGGGGACTACTCACACCACTATGGTTGCTGGTTCTGGTGAAGTGGAGCTGAACTTCACCTCTGGGAAGAAGATGGTGCTCAAGGATGTGTTGCACACTCCAGAGATAAGGAAGAATCTTGTTTCGGGATATCTTCTTAATAAGGCTGGGTTTAATCAAACTATTGGGGCAGACTTGTATACCCTTACTAAGAATGGGAGTTTTGTGGGAAAGGGATATGCATGTAATGGGATGTTCAAGTTGAATGTCGAAATTAATAAGATGAATTCTTCAGTTTACATGGTGTGTGATTTGAATGTTTGGCATGCTCGTCTTTGTCATGTGAACACACGAATTGTGAAGAATTTAAGCAAGCTAGGACATATCCCTAAACTCTCAATGAATGAATTTGATAAATGTGATTTCTGTAGCCAAGCTAAAATAACGAAAACGCCCCATAAATCTGTGACTAGAGAATCAGAACCCTTAGATCTTATTCATTCTGATATTTGTGAACTAGATGGGACGTTAACTAGGTCTGGCAAGAGATACTTTATCACTTTCATAGATGATTGCTCTGATTATTGCTTTGTTTATTTGATGAAAAACAAAAGTGAAGCCCTTGATATGTTCAAGGTATTTGTGGTTGAATTTGAAAATCAGTGCAATCGAAAGATAAAAAGACTTGGGAGTGATAGAGGATCAGAGTATGACTCTAATCCCTTCAAGGAATTCTATAGCTCACATGGTATCATTCATGAAACCACGGCACCATATTCACCAGAAATGAATGGTAAAGCTGAGCGGAAAAATAGGACGTTTACAGAATTAGTTGTGGCTATTATGCTCAATTCTGGAGCTGCTTCTTCTTGGTGGGGTGATATTTTGTTGACAGTTTGCTATGTGCTAAACCGTCTTCCAAAAACAAATAGAAAAGAATCACCCTATGAGATCTTGAAGAATAAGCCACCTAATCTGTCCTATTTAAGAACGTGGGGCTGTTTGGCCTACGTAAGAATTCTTGATCCTAAGAGGATTAAATTGGCTAGTTGAGCATATGAATGTGTCTTTGTTGGCTATGCGGCCAATAGTAAGGCATATAGATTCTATGATTTGAATGCTCGTACTATAATAGAATCCATTGATGCTGATTTCTTTGAGACACGATTTCCATTTAAAACGAGAAATAGTGGGGGTAATGTACTACCCGCTATTAGAGATAACGGAACTAGTGGGGGTGTTGGTTCTGAGGATGAACTCAGAAGAAGTAAAAGAGCTAGAATCTCAAAAGATTTTGGTGATGACTTTACTACAGTATTCACCCTCGAAGATCCAAAAAGTTTGCAGGAAGCATTAACTTCCGTAGATGCAGATTTTTGGAATGAGGTCGTTATAGATGAAATGGAATCGTTAGAAGCTAATAAGACTTGGCATCTAACACACTTACCTCCTGGCTGCAAAGTCTTAGGTAATAAATGGGTTCTAAAAACGAAACGGAAACCTGATAGTGCAATCGAAAGGTTCCGAGCTCGCCTAGTAGTTAAGGGCTACAGGCAGAGAGAGAATATAGATTTCTTCGATACCTATTCACCAGTATCTAGAATAACATCCATTCGTGTAATGATTGCTCTTGCTGCCTTGAACAATCTCGTGGTACACCAAATGGATGTTAAGACCGCTTTTTTGAACGGTGATCTGGATGAAGAAATCTATATGGAACAACCAGAAGAGTTTGTTATCCCCGAACATGCCTCGAAAGTCTGTAAGTTAGACAAATCATTATATGGTTTGAAACAGGCTCCAAAACAGTGGCATGAGAAGTTTGACACTCTCGTTCTCTCACATGGCTTTAAGGTGAATGAAAGTGACAAGTGTATTTACTGCAAGTCAGAAAATAACACTTGTACTATCATATGTTTGTATGTAGATGACATGTTGATATTTGGTACAAATATTCACGTGGTCAATGAAGCAAAAGCCATGCTAAAAGAGAGCTTTGAGGTGAAAGATCTGGGAGAAGCAAAGTTTATGCTTGGAATCCAGATAACTAGAACAGCAAATGGTTATTCTCTAGATCAATCTAGCTACATAGAGAAGATCTTGAAGAAATATAACTATTTCGACTGTAAACCTGCGTGTACTCCGTATGATGCTAGTGTAAAGCTATTTAAGAACACTGGAGACAGTGTAAGACAATCAGAATACGCTAGCATCATTGGCAGTCTCCGTTATGCTGCGGATTACACTCGACCAGACATTGCATATGTCGTGGGATTTCTTGGCAGGTTTAACAGCTGTCCTAGTAGAGAGCATTGGAATGCTATAGAGAGGGTCATGAGATACCTCAAGAGAACAGCAAACCTTGGTATACACTATCAAAGGTTTCCTGCTGTACTAGAAGGGTATAGTGATGCGGATTGGAATACCCTATCAGATGACTCCAAGGCAACCAGCGGGTATGTTTTTAACATCGCTGGTGGAGCTGTGTCTTGGAAGTCAAAGAAACAAACAATCCTAGCTCAATCAACTATGGAATCAGAGATGATAGCACTAGCAACGGCTAGTGAAGAAGCAAGTTGGTTGAGAGGATTGTTGTCAGAGATTCCCCTATGGGAAAGACCGGTCCCTCCGGTATTGATCCATTGTGATAGTACCGCAGCTATCGCTAAAGTTGAGAACCGGTTCTATAACGGAAAGAAACGACAGATTCGTCGTAAGCACAGTACTGTAAGAGAACTCCTAACGATAGGAGCAGTGAGGGTGGATCATATAAGATCCGAACAGAATCTAGCTGATCCTTTGACGAAAGGATTACCTAGAGAGAAAGTCCATAATACCGCCAAGGGTATGGGACTTATGCCTACCGAACCACGGACTACAAGTGATGGTAACCCGACCCAATAGACTGGAGATCCCAAGAAATGGGTTCAATGGGTAATAACAAGTCATGAGTAGTATGCGAAAAGTTCATGCATAGTGAAGCATGAATCCCAAAGCATTAGAGGTTGAGTTAATAACTCTTAATGAGATCTATACCCTATGTGGGGTGGAGTACTTTACTTTGGGGGTACTCTTGATAGACTCACCTATGTGAATGTGGGAGTGGGGCCGCTCCCTATGGAACTTTGGAGGCACAAAGTTGCTAGAGCGTTCACTAAACCAGGGTAACGTGCATGGCCATAAACGCACGGGTTATGAAGAGAACACAACTCAATGAAAAGATCCGGTGTGCTACACTGTCTGAGATAGGGTTCAAGACTACAAGTCACCCTTATGAAATCGGAAGTGTAACCACTACGCTAAGGTTCAAATCTTCGCGATACCTTAGCTTATGCCCGATCTTATGGAACTGTTGATGCTCAGAGATAGTTTCAAAACTATTCAAGTGGGGGATTGTTGGAAATGTATATGAATAGCTTTGAAAGCTATAGAGTCTCTAGTGGAAAAACTACCACATTGGTAGTTTTACTTGGTGAAATGTATATAAAGATAGGAGCCTCTCTCCCAAGGGCATGCCCCTTGGGGTGACCCACTTTTGTGGGAGAGGGAGGACCTAACGGACCACCACACACGCGCGCGCGCGCCGTCCGTCCGACCGGTCGGTCGGTCGGTTCACTTGAGACTATATATATATTTTTGGAGAAATTCCGAACGAAATTAATTATCTAATAATTAATTATTAATCTGTTATTCTGAGGTATATTCCTAAGGATAATCGACTAAAACGGAATATTCGAAGGATAATCCCTCCGGGTTTATCTTAACCGACGGTTTTAATTAAGGAAGTAATTATCTTCCTTAATTAATCCGACTTATTCCCCAAGCAAGAGGGTATATTCCTAGGGGTTCGGCTCCTATAAATAGCCGCCTCCCCAGCCCCTCTAAACACATCACAACGAGCATAAACACAATAGAGAGAGTGTTTAGAGAGCTTCGGTTTTCGCACAAAACCGCGAGTATTGAGAGGAGCTGTTTTATCCTGGAGACGACCGGTTGATAGTCTGCCGTGCGCATCAAAGGCAGTGCCGCGAACGTCTTAAAGAGAGCGACCTAGTCCGCGACTCAGCTCCAGATTCGGTAACCTCGTTCCTTTTGTTGTTCCGTTCTTAACAGATCTGAACTGTTCCGACCACAACTCTGTTGACATTAAATAAAGTTTAATTAATATAATACAAAATATCAGAAAATACTAGAAGCTAAGTGATGTGTGTGGTGTGTACTGGTGTGAAGAAAAAAAATCTGTATGAAGTGTGTAGAATCTAATTAAATAAGGTTAGTTGTTAGTTGTGAGTTAAAAAAAGAAAGAAAAATCAGCACCACAAGACATAGGCAGTTCTCAACTGCCTTCATAAATATGGGCAGATTTTTTAGTGATAGTGAGCCTATAAATAGGCTTTGGATCATGTAATGGATGGGTAGCAGAGCAAAGTAACAAAACAATAAAGAATAGCCCATTCCAAAATTCATCTGCTTGTCCCAAATAAAAAAACCCTCCTTCCATTCTTGCTCAATAACGAGCATTCCCACAAAAGAAAAACCCACCATTAGTCTTGTAAATTATAAGGAAATAAATTATTTTATTTCCAACAAAGTGGTATCAGAGCCCGAGTTATTCTTAAAGTATGCTCTGTGGTTGCAGCGTAGTCTGATCTTCCACATCAGAAAAGAATTTCTCGTGTTGTGGTTATCACGATTGTCCCATGGCCGAAAAATCCACTTTCCCCATTCAATTCCCCCATCTTACCAAAACCAATTATAAAAATTGGTGCATCCGTATGAGAGCCTTGCTGGGATCCCAAGATGCTTGGGATATTGTCGAAAAAGGCTATGAGATTCCCGTGGAGGATTCTCGGTTATCTCCTGCTGAAAAGGAGTTGTTGAGAAAGAATCGAAAGAGTGATCAGAAAGCACTCACTCTCATTCATCAGTGTCTTGATGAATCGATGTTCGATCAAATAGCAGATGCTACCACAACAAAGGAAGCATGGGAGATTTTGCAAAAGGAAATGCAAGGCGTGGAACCAGTGAAGAAGGTTCGACTTCAGACACTAAGGGGAGATTTTGAAGCCATTAAAATGAAGGAAGGTGAATCTGTTTCAGATTACACCGCCCGTGTGAAGTCAGTCGTCAGCAAACTGAAGCAGTATGGGGAGAAAATTGAAGAGACCAAAGTAGTGGAGAAAATTCTACGGTCATTATTACCAAAGTTTGACTATGTGGTGGTGGCCATGGAGGAAGCTAAGGACGTGTCAAAAATGACGGTTGATGAAGTCATCGGTTCATTACAAGCCAGAGAAGAAAGATTAAATAAAAGAAATGAAGAATCATCAGAACAAGTGTTAGCTACAAAAGCTACCACTGAGGAGAAAGAAGGCGCACGAGGAGGAGTTCAATACAGAGGTCGAGGCAGAGGCAACTACAGAGGCAGAGGAAGAGGAAGAGCCCGAGGAGCATATCAAAGCAGAGACGGAGGAAATTTCACCACGAACAATTATGAAACGTCCACCAGAGGCAGAGGTCGTGGTCGTGGACGTGGAAGAGGAAGTTGGAGATCAAATGAAGGTCGTGATAAATCCAACGTCCAGTGCCATAATTACTCGAAGTACGGGCATTATGCATCAGAATGTTGGAGTCCGCCTAAAGAAGTGGAGGAAACAGCAAACAACGTGCAAGAAGAAGTCAAAGGCACATTGATGTTGTCACATCAAGGAGATGAAAAACCGAGAGACAACATGTGGTATCTGGATAATGCAGCGAGCAACCACATGTGTGGAAAAAGAAATATGTTCGTGGATATGGATGAGTCAGTGAAAGGAAATGTCGTATTTGGAGACTCCTCGAAGGTTCCTATCAAAGGCAGAGGAACTATACTCATCCGGCTCAAGAATGGCTCACAGCAATTTATCAGTGATGTCTACTATGTCCCAGACATGACTAGTAACATCCTGAGTTTGGGTCAGCTGATGGAGAAAAATTATGAAGTCCACATGGTGAATCGTCAACTGGAGTTGTTAAATGAGAAGAAGCAGTTGTTGGCCAGAGTCCCAATGTCGAGAAACAGAATGTTCACCTTGAACATTCAGACTGAAATGGCGAAGTGTTTGAAAGCATGTGTGAAGGAAAATACATGGCTATGGCATCTGAGGTATGGCCATCTAAATTTTGGAGGCCTGAAGTTGCTCGGTCAGAAGAAGATGGTGCATGGTCTGCCAGTGATCAATCATCCAGACCAATTGTGTGAAGGATGCTTAGTTGGGAAGCAATTTAGGGCAAGTTTCCCGAAGGAATCCCTGTCACGAGCTAAAGCACCACTTGAGCTTGTCCATGCAGATCTATGTGGACCGATCACCCCAACATCGTTCGGAAAGAAAAAATACTTCCTACTGTTCATTGATGATTACAGCAGAAAGACATGGGTTTACTTCTTGAAGCAAAAGTCAGATACATTTGAAGCTTTCAAGAAATTCAAGATGATGGTGGAGAATGAAAGTGGCCGCTACATCAAAGCAATGAGATCAGATAGAGGTGGAGAATTTATGCTCAAGAAGTTCAGAAGGTTCTGTGAATATCAAGGAATTCGCAGGTTTCTCACAGTCCCAAGATCCCCACAGCAGAATGGAGTTGTTGAGAGGAAGAACAGAACTGTCCTCAACATGGCGAGAAGCATGATGAAAAGCAAGACCTACCAAAGGAGCTATGGGCTGAAACTGTTGATTGTGCAATCTACCTGCTGAACAGGTCACCAACAAAGAGTGTTTGGAATCAAACACCCCAAGAAGCATGGAGCAGAAGGAAACCCACAATCTCTCACCTCCGAGTCTTCGGAAGTGTTGGATATGTGCATGTACCTGATCAAGAAAGGAAGAAGTTGGATGACAAAAGCAAGAAGTACATATTCCTGGGATACTCAGAACACTCAAAAGGTTACAAAATGTTTGATCTCGTGGAAGAGAAGCTGATCATCAGCAGAGACGTGGTAGTTGATGAAGAAGCAACATGGGATTGGACTGCTGAAGAAAAAAAGAATTACACTTTTTATCCATTCACTATGGATGAAAGTGATGATGAACCAGATACATCTACACCTGTGACAAGTCCACCCAGTCACAGAGAGCCTGCCAGCCCAGAAGGAGAATCTAGTGAAAGTCCCCGAGAAAGGCCACAAAAGTATAGGAGACTTGAAGAAATTTATGAGGAAACGACAACCATTGAAGGTGATGAATTGACACTCTACTGTCATTTCATTGATAGTGAACCGGTTGATGTCGAAGAAGCCATGAAGAATGAAAAATGGAAGAGAGCTATGGATGAAGAAATTGGAGCAATTGAGAAGAACAAGACTTGGGAGCTTGTGTCACTCCCTGAGAACCAGAAGCCCATCGGTGTGAAGTGGGTATTTAAAGCAAAGAAGAATGCAAAAGGAGAAGTTGTCAGGCACAAAGCAAGATTGGTGGCGAAAGGGTATAGCCAGAGACCAGGCATTGACTATAATGAAGTTTTTGCTCCTGTGGCGAGAATGGAGAGTATCAGGATGGTGATATCTCTCGCTGCTCAAAATAGATGGAAGATACATCAGATGGATGTTAAGTCAGCTTTTCTGAATGGATATCTCGAGGAAGATATCTATATTGAGCAACCCCCTGGATATGTCGTTGAAGGTCAAGAAGATAAGGTGTTAAAGCTGAAGAAGGCATTGTATGGTCTGAAACAAGCACCGAGAGCTTGGAATAGCAGAATTGACAAGTATTTTCAGCAGAATGGATTCTGCAAATGCCCACACGAGCATGCACTATACTGCAAGGTGCAAGGGGGAGAAATCTTGATGGTTTGCCTATATGTAGATGATCTCGTCTTCACAGGCAATGATCCTCAAATGTTTGAAGAGTTCAAGAAGACGATGGTTCGTGAGTTCGAGATGACAGACATCGGATTAATGTCATATTATCTTGGAATTGAAGTAAATCAAAAGGAGGAAGGAATTTTCATCTCACAGAGTGGTTTTGCCAAAGAGGTCCTGAAGAAGTTTAAGATGGAGAACTGTAATCATGTGAGTACACCAGCAGAGTGTGGACTGAAATTATCCAAGGATGACAAAGGAGAGAAGGTCAACTCAACGGAGTTTATAAGCCTTGTCGGAAGCCTGAGATATCTTACTTGTACCAGACCAGATATTCTCTACGCAGTTGGATTAGTCAGCAGATACATGGAGGCACCAACTATGTCACACTAGAATGCTGCAAAGAGGATACTGCGCTACATTAAAGGTACAATCGATCATGGTCTACTTTATACTAAGTCAGAAAATTTCAAATTGGTTGGATACTGCGATAGTGATTGGGCAGGAGACGTGGATGATCGCAAGAGCACTACAGGATTTGTATTTTTTCTGGGAGATACAGCTTTCACATGGAGTTCAAAGAAGCAAGCTATAGTGACACTGTCTACTTGTGAAGCTGAGTATGTTGCTGCGACATCGTGTGCGTGTCATGCGATATGGCTGAGAAAGTTACCGAAAGAGTTGAACATGGCCCAAGAAGAGTCCACTGAAATTTATGTGGATAACAAGTCTGTCCTGGCGCTAGCAAAGAATCCGGTGTTTCATGATCGCAGTAAGCATATTGATACAAGATATCATTTCTTGAGAGAATGCGTAGAGCAGAAAGAAGTTATGCTGAAGTATGTGAAGACTGAAGACCAGATTGCTGATATTTTCACGAAGCCGTTGAAGCAAGACGTGTTCGCCAAACTGAGGACGCTACTCGGAGTTACAGTTAATTAAACTTTAAGGGGGTGTGTTGAAATTAAATAAAGTTTAATTAATATAATACAAAATATCCGAAAATACTAGAAGCTAAGTGATGTGTGTGGTGTGTACTGGTGTGAAGAAAAAAAATCTGTATGAAGTGTGTAGAATCTAATTAAATAAGGTTAGTTGTTAGTTGTGAGTTAAAAAAAGAAAGAAAAATCAGCACCACAAGACATAGGCAGTTCTCAACTGCCTTCATAAATATGGGCAGATTTTTTAGTGATAGTGAGCCTATAAATAGGCTTTGGATCATGTAATGGATGGGTAGCAGAGCAAAGTAACAAAACAATAAAGAATAGCCCATTCCAAAATTCCTCTGCTTGTCCCAAATAAAAAAAAAACCCTCCTTCCATTCTTGCTCAATAACGAGCATTCCCACAAAAGAAAAACCCACCATTAGTCTTGTAAATTATAAGGAAATAAATTATTTTATTTCCAACAAACTCGTTACAAACCGCCAGAACTCAACCGAACTGCTGCAGATTCTTTGAGTATTTGAGACAGGTCGGAAATCAACTCCTCGTTTTCACGTCTATAGACGACGACCTCCATCTCGTCGAGCTTAGACGGCGGCATCACCTTTTCCGCCGTCGAGCATTTTTAACCCAACAAACAGAGGCGAGGAATTCACATGCAGCAGTTCTCTCGAGCATCTCCGTTGCCCTTGATTGGAAACATGGCGTCGCCGTCGAGCACCGTTCAGGCTAAACCTAGGTTCGATTCGCGACCATTGGAAATGGAGATGACCAAATTTGTGAATCAGTTGTTTGAGAATGGTCGGAAGCAAATTGGCATCAATGGTCTTCTTCCTCCAAAGAGGGATTTGACCAAATTTGTGAAGTGGCTTCAAGTTGTTCGTATCCAAAGGCAAAAGAGGATTCTCCGTTTGGAGATGACCGACCACAACGCATCTTTCAATTTGATAATTATAATTTTTTTTTTATTTTATGGTAAAAATGAGTTGAACATTAAAATATATTTTATTTTATTTATTATTTCTTAATTGTCACGTCACTAAGTTAATGGTCAACTTTGAGAGTTGACTGCCACATTAGCCAAAGTTAACGGAGTTGGACGGAGAGCTACCAAACGTGAACGGTTTTAGTAAACTGAAATACCACCAATGGATTTAAATATTTCGAGTGACCAAACTTGAACGTTTTTTATAATCTCAGTGACCAACCATGCAATTAACCCGGTTTAATTCTCATTCACATACGAATAAAAATTGAAACACCTAGATTAGGAATACTAATAGCACCCACTAGGAAATCCACCATAGAAGGCTCAACTTTCCCACGAGCCATAGAAGTTGCAAACTCAAGCAAATTTTCTAGGGAGCCGTAAAAGGCGCAAACACAAGCAACTTTTCAAGGGAGCAATAAAAGAGCGCAAACCCAAACCAAGGCACTCATTGCCGATCAACTACGTCATATTTGAAACAAGCTGGGTATCGGTCACCTTCATACACCAACTTAGAAGGGAGTGTAAGAAGCAATAAAAGTTTATACACCCAAACACGGTGTTGATTCCACAAACTGATCTTGGAAGCCAAGCTTAGCAGCTCGTCGAAGTAACCAAGTTTCCAATGACAATTTAAAACTAAATGGATGGAACTCTTGTGCAATCCTACACCTGGAGGAAGGCTTAAGAAGTATACGTCGAAGCTCTCCCTCGATCAAGGCGATTTTGATCGATACAAGAGCAGAATCGAGCTTGGTTTTCTCGGCCAAACTCTCAACCAAAAACTATAACTATGAGAAATAGTTTTTAGGGGTTTCATTTCATATTCAACTCAAAACTACCTTTACAATATGTTTGTAGGTCTTAAATATAGGTTACAAACATTCTAGAATGCAAAAGGAATCCGAAACAAACAAGGTAAGCAAAAACAGTCACAATCCAAACACAAAACGGAAAATTAAAATGCAAGTAACAAATTGGGGTTGACGCCAACTTTGAGACCCTCATTCTTCCTCCTCCCGATTCCGATTGGATCACCCAATACCTTGTTTCTGTACTAGAAAATGCCAGCTTCCATGTGAACTAAACGTTGGAACCTGATTCCCAGCCGTTCGTTGTCTCCAGAGCTTCAAAGTGAGCTTCCCGCAACAGCTCCATGCCTTGGACAAATCCTAGCAGTTTGCCTGTGCTGTCATAGGGTTTTGTCGAGCTTGAAAACACCACTTCCTGGCCTTCTCTTGAGATCCCAGACATTCCCATTTGTTTGTCAACTCGCAAGGTTCAATCCAAACCTTTCCAATATAATTTCTATCATGCCAATTGCCCAAACCATGCTTGTATAGAAGGCCCCCTGAAATAGTCTCATGACTTAGCCAAAATTCCATGTTCTTCAAGTGAGTAGGAGTAGCTTCTTTAGCAATCAACAAAGAATAACGGAAGAGGGATTTTGAGATCATATTAGGGATTTTTCCAGAAATAACACTGTTCAAAAAAAATCCAAAAATAGCACCCAACCCGGAAAAATTCTAAAAATAGCACTATTTCCAATAAGCGCCACCCGAACTAGCGGTTTAGGCAAAAACCGCCATCTGGGGGCGCGTTTTTCGATGAAACCGCACGGGTAGGGGCAGTTTTTGCAAACCGCACCACCACCATGCGGTTTAGGTCTCTTTTTTTTTTTTTGAAATATCCTAACCTAGGTGGAAACTTCAAACGAACGTATCTTTGTGTTCGGGTATCCGATCATCGCGATTTTTTTATTCCACATAACTTCTCGCCTTCGTCCCGAAAAAATGTCGTTTGCCACCCCGAACGAGCTTTTTTTCGATTTCGTCAAACTTTGGACAACCATAACTTTGTGCTCCAAAATCCAAACGACATGAATTTTTTTTTTTATTTCGCATAACTTTTTAAGGACTACAACTTTTATCATAGACATAATTTCGAAATGTACGTGTATTGCTGAAAAGGGAAGGTAAGCTATTCTCAAAATCATGTATATCCAAACATATTTCCTGTTTTAAAATTTTATTCCTTGTAACAATTGTATTCCTTAAAAAGTTATGCGAAATGAAAAAAAATTCATGACGTTCGGATTTTGGAGCACAAAGTTATGGTTGTTTAAAGTTATTGATGATTTTTAGCTTTCAATGAGTAAAACTTTGTCAATGTATTATTGTTTCAGGAGAATAGTTGTAGTTGAGCGGTGTAGATGTTGTGCTAAATTTAGTAAACTAATTATTATCTGGGTTCGAACCACTACTCCCATAACACGTTGCTTTTTTATCTCTAAAAAATAAAAATAAAAATCAAATGGGATGGTGGGGATTCGAACTCAGGAATTCTTGCACACAATAAACACCTAAACCAGTTGTGCCAAAAACACTTGTGATACTTATATTACAAACCGCATTGTGGGAGTGCGGTTTGCAACCAAACCGCCCCGGCCCCATGCGGTTTGCAAAACCGCACCCTATCCGTGCGGTTTTCATCAAAAACCATGCCCCCGGATGGCGGTTTTTGCCTAAACCGCTGGTTCGGATGGCGGTTTTGGGAAAGAGTGTTATTTTTGAATTTTCCGGGTTCGGTGCTATTTTTGGAAGAAAAAAAAAGTTAAACAGTGCTATTTCTTGAAAAAATCCCATCATATCAGGCCTTCCCTCTTTTAAAAGTTTTGCCCTCAAAGCTGGTTCTTACCTACTCTCAAAATCGTCACAAACTGAACCCAACTAGGATCGTAAGACGGCTGCCCAGACCACGTTTTCTGGAAAACGCAGGCACTGTTCTTGAATTTTCGGTGCTCGGTGTCGCCATCCCAATTCATTGCCCCCACTGCCTCCTTTCATCCTCCAATCGAGCTCCTGAACTTGTTCCACCCATTGAGGCAACGCCATCGTCGCGAATTCGACGTCACTCGTTTTCCCGCAACCTGCAGCGTTTAAATTTTATGTGCTCAGGTAAGTCGATTTCAATTTGGGCGTTTCTTCCTCAGCGATCGAAGGTCGTATTTGAAGCTTCCTACAGCTTTCTGGGACTACCCTTGACGATTCTGCATCAACCGCTTCGGTCGGTTCATCGCCAGACTCCCCAACCCATTCACACGTATCTTGCACGTGTTTGAGTTCTAGTAGAGGGATTGGAGCGTGAATGTGATCCTGCAAAACAAACAAAGACGACTCCAATTGATCGAGGGGAAAGTTTCCCTGGGTCTGAGGAAACGCGTCGGCCTTCTTGGATTGGGTCGGATGGCCCCCAGGAGCGCTACCCAATAGCCCCTCTCTCCTGTCCTGTCTCGCCGTCGTCGGAAAACAGAGAACGAGTTAACTCGGCAGGAACTTCAGCAGCAGATTTAGCACTGGTAACCCTTCGCCCAGTGGAGGATTTTTGTTGCTTTTCCACTCTAATGGCGAGGTAAACTGCTTCTTCGAGTTTGACAAAAGGCCGCAGTTCGACCTCATGACAAATCTCTTGATTCAATTTGTGGAGGAACCTTGAAATCGTTGCCTCCTTGTCTTCACGCACATCAGCTCGCATTAAGAGCAATTTGAGCTCTCGAAAGTACGCTTTGTTGCTCCTCGATCCTTGTCGAATGCCCTGCAGGGCATCATAGAGGTCTCGTTGAAAGTATCCCAGAACAAAGCGATCCCTCATCAGATCACGCAGCTCGTCCCATGTAGTTACAGGCTCTTGGTGATTTCGTCTTCGACGGAGTTGGAGTTGTTCCCACCACTGAGCTGCGTATTCTGAAAATTCGTAAGTCACCATCGCCACTTTCTGCTGCTCGGTGAATTGGCTGCACTCAAAGAACAGAAGAATTTTTCTCTCCCAATCAAGGTCTGCCACTAGGTTGAGGGTCCCCTGAAATTGCGGAACAACGAGTTTGATTCCCGGAGGAATCGTCGACTCTGTTTCCTGCGGTCTTCCCCGATGCTCACGTCGCCGTCGCCCCCGCTCAGGATCGTCAACGACTAGTTGCTCCAGCTCCTCAACTCGGGCCAGCAATTCCCGATTATCAGCTTCAGTTGCAACAAGACCACGCTCCCCTGTTTGGTCATGCAAACACAATATTTATACACTCATCAGAAGAATCAGCCCCTTATTCTCATTTAGGGTAAATTACAAGATTGGTCACTGAGATTACTAAAAACATTCATGTTTGGTCACTACAAATATTTAATTCCATTTGTGGTCACTAGATTTAGTAAAACAATCCAAGTTTGGTCACTATCCGTTAGTCTCCGTTAACACCATCAGTTATTTGTTGAAGTGGCTAACAGAATTGCTGATTCAGCCCATTTTAACCTGCCACATCAGAAAGTTTAACCCTCCATGTCATTAAAACGCCACATCATATTATTATTAAACAATTAAAATAAAAAAATGGAAAAAACCCTAGATCCTCTTTCTTCCCCACCCATCTGTGATACCCATCTTCTGTCCAAATTACTAAAATTAGGTGGAAGCAAACCCATCAATCCCTTCACATTAGGATTTTACTTATTCAATTGGAGGATTTACATCCATCTTCCGTGCCTATCTGGCTCCCCTTCATTTGCTTGGCGTACATCGTCATAGTTCTGCCTCACGTGTTAAGAAAGTTGAGTAGAGAATTGGCCATTGTTGTCGCAATTAAGTAGTACCGTAGCTGCGATTTCCGTTGGTGGGTGGTGGGCATACATATAACCGCCGCCATCACCACCACGCACGACCAAGCCTGGTGCTCTACTTTTCTTCTCCGAATCCGCAGCTACGACCTCATTTCCTCCTCCTTTGTGGCCGGATTCATCGGAGGCGGCAGAAATCTAGAAGAAAATCTCCAACGCGGAGCCAGATTGAGGAGTTGGCGCTTGCCGCCTCTCACTTCCCTCTTCTTCTCCTCTTTGCTTGAGGGATTCGAGACGCTCTGCCCTCCCAACAAGAAAACAGCGGGAAGATGATTCTGAGCCTCTGCCACCATCAGATCTGGGCCTCTGCCACCATAAGATCTAGGCCTCTGTCGGAGAAAGATGAAGGAAACGACGGCAGTAACGTTTAGTCCCTGCTGTTATGGTTGTGGCGATTATTGAGGCTACCAGGTGAGGCAACATCTTGAGCTTCTTGTTGAAGGGAGGGCAAGAAAAATGAAGAACCAGAGAGAAGATTGCTTTCAAATCTGGAAAGGAAAATGAGATAGATCATTTTTTGATTGTGTTGGTTGGTTCATGGGTCAGGCCGATTTAAGGTTTGGGTTGGGTATGGCAAGATGACATGACAAGTTTTGATGACGTGGGGGTCAGATTTCGAGTTAAATTAGACTGATTAGGTGATTTCATCTGCCACATCATCACATAACGGTATTCACTAACGGAGACGGACGGAGACTAACGAAGAGTGACCAAACTTGGATTGTTTGACTAAACCTAGTGACCATTAATGGAATTATATATTTATAGTGACCAAACATGAACTTTTTTTGTTATTCCAGTGACCAACCTTGCAATTTACCCTCTCATTTATGAATAGAAAAGGGGAGATATTATTTTTCTGTATTTCCTTTCACAAAACCAGCAACTCTATAGTTACCTTCTGTTGTATAAAACCAGCAGGACTAGAGGTGGCAATTGGATCGGATTCGTGGATCGGATCCAATGGATTTGTGGATCCACAACAATAAATCGTCCTTTTATTTACAATATTGTCATCATAACCGCTTTGGGCCTTTCATACAGTCCAATCCCTAGGGATGTATAATTGCTGATTACTACTAGCTTAATCGTCCTTTTTTTTACAATATCTTAATCGTCCTTTTTGCTGGGAGAGGTCATATCTGTGTGATATGGCTAGGTGCTCGCCACATATTGGCACCTGTCTTGACAAAATAACATAAAAACGAAACGAATCCAGTAAATGGCTCTTCGTGATCAATAAAATTCAGTATTCTGCTGCAGTGTGCGCATTGTAAGTTGCTATTATATTAGAGAGAGCTTCAGAAATCAGAACACACTGTATGCTGCTGTCACAACAAAGCAAGTTTAGGGGGGTCTAGTACATGAAACACAATATATCAAATTTTCACACAGGAGTAGAGCTAGAAGTCATTGAAGATGTTCCGACCGCCTTTGAAATTTCCACCTCGAGCCCATTATCACGATCATCACCTTCATCAAGCAATTCAAATGTTACTAAGTAAACTGTATTAGATTAAGTTATTATCAAATAAACTATATCCTTAATTAGCTTACTTGGAAATCCATATAGCCAATTGCGTGTGGTAATCAAAGCTTCGGCATTTTCAGGCAAAAGAGAGCTTCGCAAGTTGCTTAGAACTCTACCTCCCATACTGAAAGCCGACTCTGAAGCTACAGTAGTGATAGGAATGCTCAAAACATCTCTAGCCACACAAGCAAGCTCTGGGAATCGAGATTCATTCATCTTCCACCATAAAAGTACATCCAACGGTTGTTTGCGATTGAGCCTTTTACAATCCAGATATTCATCTAATTGTGTCCTATCACTCAAGAATTGACTTTCCCCAAATGAATTGAACTCCTATGAAAAAAAAACTCATTTTAGTAATACAAATGCATTAAGATATTAAGATAAAGATAATTAGAAAAGTAAATTTACTTACATCCATATCATCTTCATAGCCTATATCTTCAGCAATAGACTCAGCAAGTGATGATGATTGATCGGTAGAGTCATTGTACTCCTTCAATAGATCACATATCTTTCCTCGAAGCTCAATACATTTTGTTTTAGCAACAGCTTGCCCATATAGCTTCTCATAACAAAATTTCACATAATCCAACATATACCGTGGATCAAAGACCACAGCTATGGACAAAATTGTACTGTAGGACTCCCCATACTTATCAAACTTGCCCTTCATCGCTAGAGCCATACGACAAATATCACTATCCACACTTGCACATGCATTCATCAACCGCATTTGAATCCTCCACACATTGCAGAAATACAGGTTAGAAGTAGGATAATGGACCCCAGAAAAAAGCTTCGTGATGTCATTAAAAGGCTTCAAAATCTTGATGATTTTCTCAATCTTGTCCCATTCTACATCTGACGAGCATCTATCAAAATTTCTGTCAACCAACCTCATATGTTGAAAAGCACGACGATAAAGATCCTCTCTCTCAAGCATCATGTATGTAGAGTTCCATCTGGTTGGACAATCTAACCATAATCCTTTAGAACTCAGACAATTGCTTCTCTTTGCACAATCTTCAAAAACTATCCTTCGAGATTCAGACCCCTTGACATACTTCACCCACTCCCTAATAACATCTATAGATGCACGAATCTCTTTTAATCCTTCGTTCGCAATCAGGTTCAAAACATGAGCACCACAACGAATATGAAAATAATCCCCATCACATACTAATGTCCCATCTTCTTTCAATTGGTCGAGTAAAAGACCTTGCATGACATCATTGCACCTAGCATTGTCCAATGTAATCGAGAATATTTTCTTCTCAATTTGCCACTCTCTCAACAAATCATATATTGCATGGTACAAAAAATAGCAGAATGTGGAGGAGGAACATGACAAAAACTTAGGATCTTAGTATTTAACTTCCAATGACAATCCACATAATGTACCGTCAAACAAAGATAGCCTTCAGTAGCACAAGAAGTCCACAAATCACAAGTCAAAGAAATCCTACCAGGAACCCCACTCAAAAGAGCTTTCAGCTTCTCTTTTTCCCTCTTATGAATCTTCAAACAATAAGACTTAGCAGTTTTCCGAGTAAATGACTTGAAATCATCATCTAAATAAGCCATCACATTCTGAAGTCCACCATGCTCAACAACTGAAAATTCATATCCATGTTTTATTATAGCAATAGCCATTAGCTCCTTAAACTCGTTTTGATCTATTGTCTTTGACTTTCCAACACTAGGTATAGGCACTTCGTTTGCTTTTTTTGCCAATTTTCCAACACACTTATGGATATGGCGAGAGAGATTAGAAATACCTTTACCAGCCACATAACTCTTTGGACAATTCTTGCATTGTGCTCTTGGTACCTTGTCACGAAAGTGATTTGCGGAAATAAAATTGAAATCTGCCCACACCTTGGAAGTTCTTTTTCGCTTTTTATAACCACTTGTACAATCTGTAGATGTAGACATCGTTGCTACATCATCATCACCACCATCACTACCATCCCTACCATCACCAACGTCCATGGTATTTATTTCTTGAGTTGACATCCTGAAATCAATCCATGTAATGAAATCACAATCAAATGAAATCATAACCAACTGAAACAGGAGGAATACAGTACTGGACCATATCCAAATTGGGCTTTAGATGGAGGCCCTTCAGATTCAACACAAAGGTCATCAAGTACCTCAAACATATAGCGCCCTGATCTGAAAGTCTAAAGAGCCAAAAAAGTTCAGACAAAACAAGTCCAGTGCAAAAGTTGCATCCACATCTCATAGTATAAACCAAGTTCTAAACACAAATTCTGATGTTCACGTCAAAATGGGTGTTCACATAATGCTAATGTGGATGAAAAACATAGACGGATACTAAGGAAATTACCAGAAATATGTTAAAGAAAGCACAAATAACACAATTGATCAGTTTGTTCAAATTCAAACTTCAGTGACCGATTTGCTAATGACTCCAAATGTAAATGGTCATTTCTGTAATCGACGGGCCAATCATAGGGAAGCTGGGCTGTATCATTGATGGGTGGGCTTTCTACCTTGAAACTCTGCTGAACTGGGAACAAAAGCAGATGTTCAAGTAGTAAGATCACAAAGGGTGTTTATTGGATTAGTATTTCCTAAAGAGCAAATATGCATCGGACAGCTTTCGGTTCATTTATCATCAAACCAGCTGATATATGACAAAACATGTTTGCAGATTTATGGAGGACCATAATACTGCTACCTTTCCTTCCAAGAAGTAAGACTCTTACCATGAATAATGCTTGCTTATTTTATCCATTTACTGCAACAAGTAGTTAACTCTTTGGAGTGCATCATCAAGTTTCTTGGTGCATAACCTTATTAGCTTGCACAAATTCTAGAGGAAATACTTTTACAGGCAAACTCTCAAACAAAAGTCACGCCCCATTATATCCAAAAATTCATGAATGACAATACAATCATAGTAAAGAGGAGCCTCACCTCTCCGGTGCTTATATCCGTTGTCTCGTCAAGCAATTCCAAAGAACTTTCTCCTCCGGCTGCTGCCAATTTGGATAGAGGATGGTTAAGTGGTGGTGAAAACCAGCAAGCCCAGATTCCAAACTATGCTGAACTTGTCCCTCTGACCAAGCAGCTACCAGGTCTTTACCCCAATCTGTACAGAGATGCTGGCCTGTGACAAGTCCACTCCTGAACTTCGTAGTGCTTCCGTGAGATTGCTCAGTAGCCTGCATTTCCCATCAAGTGATTCCCAAACCCAAAAACTGAGACAGGCTTATTATGATTCAATTCGAATCAATCAATGGGAACTGGAAGACGACACACACTTACCCGCGAGAATATGCAGTTGAGATACTAATCGTACCACCTTCAACATTCAGGTCTTGGTCCTTAAGGTGATGGCCAGCCTCCACAAACCCATTAGGTCTCGAATCCCACAAATAAGATTACACAAGAAAGAAAGGGCGCTAGGGTTTCGCTGAAGATCAGCAAGGAAAGAAAAGGTGCTTGGAGGGAAAAATCAAAGCCTAACTCCATAGTCATCTCGATCCGCAGGTTGCATCTCATCGATTAGTCTAGCTTCATTATCTGCAGAAGGGTTGATTTCGCAGGATGGGTTCTCAAATGGAAGAGCCAAGCAGTGGAGATTTCGTCGGCGATGGAGGAGGGTTCGATTCTCAGGATGGGTTCTCAAATAGAAGAGCCAGGCGGCGGAGATTTCGCCGGCGCTGGAGGAGGGTCGATTCGCAGGATGGGAGTTGCGATGTTGGATCTGATTCAGACTCAGGGGAGAAGAACAGATTGGATTTGTTCAATCACAGAGGAGGGAAAGAAGATTCGATTGGGACGGCGGCAGGGTGGATTTGGACATGGAGAGCAGGCGGTGGAGAGTTCGCCGGCTCGGCTCTTCGGAGAGGTCGCCGGCTCTGCTCTTCGTCGTCGCCTCGTCGGAGAGAATTTGATTGGACTATATTTGGAGTAGGATTCGACCGTACTGAAAGTCTAAGAGCAGAGTTTTTGTTCGGATATATTATAAAATAAATGAAGAAAATAATATGTGTTAATGGATTGGTGGATCAATCCATTAATCCATGAATCCAATCCATCAATCCACAAATCAAATGGATTTGGATCAACTTAAATGGATTTGAATCCATTTTAAATGGATTGGATGGATTGGATAAATGTATTTGGATCTTACTTGCCACCTCTAAGCAGGACTTATGTTGTGCATGAATCATTAATAGCGTTTAAAATTCATTTAGCAAATTTGTCACAAATGAGGTGGCTTCTATGGACTTTGAGCTTCAGGCCCTCATTCGTGCCAATACTGTCTAGCAAGAAACCTGTCTGTTTCAAATGGGTTTATAAGGTAAACCCCCATGGTACCATTGAAAGCTATAGAGCTCTGGATTGGTTTCCAAAGAATTTTGTGTGCTCGAAGGTTAATCTCTTTTTTCATGGAGGCCAAAGAAACATCAAAATATATTTCGGCATTCTATTAAAATCGAATATAGAGTAATGGCTGACTTGACTTGTTAAATTCTGTGCTTCATTACATTTTTGCAGATTTAGGTGCATCGTTTATGTGAGCTTGGAGCCACAATAGATGCTAATTGGTTTACTCCTCAACCGAGTTCGACTACGTTAATCTCATCGTTCGAAAGAAAGCTCCGATAGGTCTAGAAGCCATAGGTCGACCGAGCTAAGAAGAGAAGATGGCAGAAAGAGAAATAATTATGCTGCCCAATCTGCTATTCCTCATAATAATCCTTTGATCTCAATTCTGTCCTGGAACTTGATATATCAGGACTCATGCACCAAGGAAACAATATCAAATATTTAAACGGGCTATAAGCAGGACGAATAAACAGAAGATAGCTCATCTGATGTATCAACTGAAGCCAACAGTATCCAGCTATTTGTGTGCCCCTCAACATATAACAGCAATGATGAAGCTAAAGTTAGTGAAACCTTGTGTTATGGTGTAACATGTCATCCAAAGCATCTAACTTCAACACTCTCCATGATAAAAGGAAAAACAGAGTAAGTAAAGTCACTCATGCTTCAACCATATCAGTTTTTGCTTTGCCAGCAAATCTAAGAAGCCTTAAGGTCATCCATGCCAACACTCGCCTGCACCAACAAAATATCCAATCAGCCGAGATTACGAGAAGTTCTGATATACTTGGTAAGTAATAGAGTGGAAGACATTAATCTATCTCGGGTACGAGAAGTTCCTAGCATGCTTAAACGGTCCAATTTCTTGAATCCTTCTGGATGGGGTACATTCATTTTCTCAAGTGGGGTGATCATATTTGATACTTCACTCACTCCTTGCTCTAAAAGGCAACCATATTCCAGTAACAGTGTATTGGTCATCAATTGTTATGGTAGAAGGAACAAGGGCTCACTAGGTTCTCTATTTATGATATTCTATTTTTTTCTATCATTTTGCCTTTCCTGTCTGATGCAGTTCTGAAACGGGGAGGATACAATTGGTTTCATAAAGTACCAGGATTCAGGGTTATGGCAAACAAGACACGGAGACAAAAAAAAAAAAAAAAAATCATACCAGGAACTTGTGATTCTCTGCAAGGAATGGGGAAAAGGTTGAACAGAAGCTATCTATGTCAGCATTGATGTCACCCTTTCCAGATATCACATCCATGAACTTCTTTCTGTCAGGAGCAAGTTTCATTGCAACCTGCAAGCAATATTCAACATCAACTCTTTGTCTAACCCAAATTAGAACTATAGCAAGCTACCGTGTTCTATGTGTATAGAAAATCATGAAGATGTAACGATGCACAAGGATGGATGGGATATTGCATAAATGCACTGGTCGGAACATTACCGAGAAACTTGAACTAGCAAGCCAGCCATGGAACTTTTTCAGAGTCTTGCTGTATGAATCTGTACAAGCTTGGCTCATTGTCCAATCTTGATGTGTAAGCAAATTGCGGAACAATTCCACCAAGAAATCCATAGCTCTGCGGGAGATCATAAAAGACAGAGGAGAGAACCATATGAACTTGATGTCAATGTGAAAATAGGCAACTGGCAGTAGATTCACCAACTTGAACTCAAGATTGCTCAAAGACCGAGTATTCGGGTGGGGATCCTCTCTTCAGTTACAATAAAGCTGAAAGAAAAGGAATGGGATCACATACCTGGTTAACCAAAGTAGACCGTTAGTGCAACTCGATGATCCTTTTGCTGTTTTGGCTTGAACCTCCTCTTGGATCATACTGTATAAGAGCTTGTATTTTGTTGGATCAGATGAATACTTCGTTTCCAACCTCTACAACAAAACATGACAATTATGTTTCAGAATGTACAGACTTCATGATGCAACCCAACGCGCTTGCGACTGGCAGTAACACACGTAAACCAGAGTGGACATTCTTCAAAAGATCTCATCTTTTCCCCCAAATTTCCAAAGAATATAACATCATTGCATCGGGTACACTAGTAGCACAAAGATCTTACCGTGATATTGCCGCCAATATCAGATTTCACAATCGCCAAAGCAGCTCCAAACTTATCTGGCAAAATCAGAAGCCCAAAAACACCAACATGAGCAGTTCTATCTATGAGCTATCAAACCCACGAAACACATTCGCCAATCTTCCCAATTTCACAACCCTTCCCGAGGAACTGACCGATCACGGGGAGGATCAATTTGCAGACATCCAGAAAGGGCTTGGTGAGCATTTCCCCTTGCTCCGACTTGACATGCTTCATCCCTTCCAGTGACGGAGCGAACACCGATCCTTCTCCAGCCATCTCACTAGTCCTGCATTACCAAACCAAAGAAACCCCATAATCAACCCAGTTGCCGTCCGATCAGCGAGAGACATCGAAAGAGATAGAGAGAGCGATCCGTACAGGAATTGGTGTCAGAAGGCGATGAAGTTGTAGAAAAGGTAGGAATTAGGAAGCAGCGAAAGATGGGGAAGGAGCTGATCGAGAAGTGGGAGGTGGTGGTGGAGTGGAGGGGTTAAAAGAGGGAGTGAGAATCAGATTCGATTTGGTGGGCGGATGATGCCGTTTCTCTCTTTATGTTTCTCTCCCCGCTTGTCAGTTACTTGGGCAGTAGTTGTACGCACGATACCTCGAGCTAATGGAGTGACAAAAGTGGAGGGAGAAGACGGAGACGTCGGTGGTGGGAGGTGAGGTGGTGGAATAACCACCGTCAGCCACGGCGTGCGTGGAGGGTTGCCATCCCTACGGTCCATCCACCCTGGCCGCCCCGTCGGGTACCCACCCGAAACCCGTCCAAACGGGTCTCAATAACCGGCCGCAATGGGTAATTGTAGGATTCGGGCATTACCCGAAACCCGTCAGGAGCGCGCTATGGATGGGGATGGATCGAGAAGTATCCGCCCTGTCCTCGTCCATCCACAAAACGACGACGTTTTGGCACCTGGGTATAAAGGCAGAAGAAGGACCCAGAAACCCTAATCCCTCATTTTCTCTTCTTCTGTCTGTCGACTGCAGTTGTTTCCTTTCAGATTCTTCTCTATTTTCTCTCCACCCAAGCACGCGAACATTGATTCAGCTATAAAAAAAATTGTCGATTCCCCACAAAATCCTCTCCATCCACTGGTTTATCGCTAGTAGGCAATCATTAATCCTCCGATTTGGCCAATCAGAGGCTTGTTTTGCCGCCGATTTGGTCGGGAAACAACATGCAGAACCCTAAAATGGTTGTTGCAATCTTCGATCCACAGTTATTGGGAGAAATCGGCGTGATATCATCACAAATGACAGATAAGCTCCATCTCCCTTTTCCTTTCGTTTTCCTATATATTCCATCTTCTTCTGCTTTCATATATATAGTAACCCAGTCGATTGATTTCAGGGTCACCCGCAACCTCAGTTCTAAGTTCTTTCGTTCATCATTACCTTCACTCTGCTCAGAGCACAGTCGAGGTAATCACTTTTAAAACTTCAATTTTCCTAGTTTATTAACTCGGTCTTTAGCATTCGATGAATGCTAACACAAAGTTGTTTTTATTTTTGCCTTGTTCGAGTTCATCAGGTTCGCATCAGGCATCAACTCCCCATCTGCAGTCTGGTCAACAAATCCTACCTCTCCAGATTACAGGTTAGACATAGCCTGACTCTAAATCCTCCTTGTTTTCTAATTTGTATGTGTAGCTTGCATGTATCGATTGCTTGCTTGTGTGCTCTGTCTGAGTCTTGAAGATTAATTGATTGTATTTTTGTTTATGTAGATGGATGGTGCAATTGCAAATGATGCTTTGATGTGAATGATCCACCTGTGCCTAGTTCTCTAAATCCTGATGTTAATGGTAATGTTAACGATAATGGTAATGGTACTGTTAATGGTAACGGTAATGGTAATGATGTTTTGGTTGATGGGATTGAAACTGGTGAAGTCATTCTTGAGGAAGATAAGAAGTTGACTTCTGATGTCTGGCCTCATTTTGTTAGAGTGAAGTTTAATGGTGTTGTTAAGGCTAAGTGTCGTTACTGTAAAAAACGACTTGGTGGTGATACTAGTAATGGAACCTCCCATCTGAGGTACCATTATAAAACTTGTACCCAAAGAAAAATACATGCATGATGGTAGACAGAGAGTTCTGGGTCCTGATTATAAACCAACTGGAAAACCACTGCTATCTGCTTCTCAGTTCAGTTCTGATGTGTCTAGGAAGGAATTGTGCTCAATGATTATGGTCCATGAATATCCTCTAGGTATTGTTGAACACTTGGGGTTCGGACGCTTTTGTTGTTCTTTGCAACCACAGTTCACTGTGCCTTGTAGGGCTACAGTAAAGAATGACATAATGGGGTTATATGGGGTTGAAATGGCAAAGTTTAAGAAGGTTCTTGATGGTAATATTGGGAGAGTTGCAGTGACCACTGATATGTGGACTGCACCCAACCAGAAGAGGGGTTATATGGCAGTAACTTGTCATTTTATTGACAATTCTTGGAAGCTAAGAAACTTGATGTTACATTTTGTTTATATCCCTGCTCCTCACACTAGTGAGAGGCTGTGAAACAGGTTGTTCAAGTGTCTTATTGATTGGAATATTGATAGCAAGTTGTCATCTATTACCTTGGATAACTGTACCACCAACGATGCTATGATAACCCATCTGAAAACCAAACTTGTTATTATTGATTTGTTGTTGGATGGTATGCTGGTTCACATGAGATGTTCTGCTCATGTACTTAATCTTATTGTGCAAGACGGTTTGGATGTCATCAGGGATGGCATTGATTTGGTTAGGGAGAGTGTTGTGTACTGGAACTCTACACCTAAGAGGGTTCAGACCTTCTTTGAAACTGCTAAACAGATTAAGGTGACTTGTACAAAGAAACTTGTGCTTGATTGTCCTACAATGTGGAATTCCACCTATGATATGTTGTCTGTTGCTATTATATACAGAGATGTGTTCTCTCGATTGAGACAGAGGGATAGTCAATACAATACTGTCCCTACTAGTATGCATTGGCAGTTTGCTGCCATTATCATTGACAAGCTTGAAATTTTCAGTGAGATTACTCAGCTATTTTCTGGTAGCAAGTATCCCACTGCCCATCTGTTTTTCCCCAGGATTTGTGATTTAAGATTGAAATTGCTGGAATGGTGTGCTGATTCCAATACTCTTGTCTCTAGTAGGGGTGGGCAACCGGTTCAGTAAACCTGAACCGAACTGAACCAAAACCGAATTAACCGAACTGAAACCGAATTAATGCTATTCGGTTCGGAATTCTGAAGGAAAATATGGATAGTTCGGAAACCAGGGTTCTCTCAACCGAACCGAATTTCCGAATTTTTGACCGAAAACCCGAAATACTATAATTGCAAGCTCCAAATGGTGGATTTTTATGTTTGTAGTTGTTTTTAGACTTAAATATTTGAAATATTTTATGACTTATGTGTTGAAAAGTTTGATTTTATCATTGACGATGCATATAATTACATATTTATTGATTATATTAGGGGGAAAAAATAATTTCAAAGTGAGAAGATACAAGTAGCTTCACAAATTTGGTTTTGTGTGAAACACCGAACCGAATTATAATTCGAGCTAAAACGACCGAACCGAATTATAATTCGGTTCAAATTCGGTTTGAGATTTGGGAGAATTCATAGACCTGGTATTCATAATTCCGGTTCGGTCGAAACCGAACTGATCAAATGCCCACCCCTAGTCTCTAGTATGGCTGAAAGCATGTGTGAGAAATTTGCCAAGTACTGGGATGAGGTACATGTGGTTCTGGCAGTTTCAATAGTTCTTGATCCTAGATACAAGATACATGTAGTTGAGTATTATGCTAGCAAGTTTGGCAGCACTAATACTACATTGGTGGCTGATAAGATAAGGGAATGTATTTGTGGTTTGGTTCTTGACTACCAAACCAAGGCCGAGAAAAAGAATTCTGGTTCTTCATGTGCTTCTGGTGGTTCTTCTTGTTCTGTAAGTGATGATCTTGATTTCGAGCTCTTTGTGAGTCAGAGGAAAAAGAGCAAAACGACTCTGATTCATACTGAGCTCGATCACTATCTTCTTGAGGATCTTATTCCCAAACGATCTAAGGACTTTGATAAATTGATGTGGTGGAAACTTAATGGCCTTAAGTATCCCACTTTGCAAGCAATTGCAATGGATTTCCTGACCATTCCAGTCACATCGGTGGCTTCTGAATATGCTTTCAGCTCTAGTGGGAAGTTATTAGACTCTCACCGGAGTAGGCTTCACTACAATACAGTGGAGGCAATGATGTGTACTCGTAATTGGATCATTGATTCAATGCAACAAGGTAATCTGCAACAATTGAACTTTCTGGTTTATTAGAGTGTTCATTGTTCTAACTATTTTCCTTTGTTTCATTTTTTGCAGAGTCAAAGGCTGATGTTGAGGCAATGGAAGGTTTGTTTTCAGCTCTAGCACTTGAAGATACAAATGCTGAAGATCAAGCAGAGGGTAAGTTAGTTGGTTCTTCAATTCGTTTCCTTGTTAATCTTAGTTCAATTCTCTTAACACCTTTGTTTCCTTACTTGCAGCATAAGAGGAACTTGGCAATATGAACCGTCCACTATCCCAGATGATTGATAGTTTGAGAAAAACTCGTGCAAAGGTAAAATACTAGTGATCAGTAGCACAATACTTACGATTGATGAGTTTTACTGATAGTTTCGATTCTCTAACACTCTTGTTTTCTTTCTTACAGAACAAATGGAACTTGTGACAAAGGAGGAATTTTGTTCAAATCAGTTGAGGTCGAGGAAAGTTAGTCTCCAGCGTGGACAAGCTACATCATTGCTGCCTCGTTTCATTTCATCATTTCTGAACGATTAGGCTGAATGCCTTTGTTTTTCATTTTATGTTCTTTTTAAATTTGAACACTAGTACTAGCATGATGAACATGATTGATGGGTTTTGGGTGGTGGGATTAAGGTTGCAACAGTTTGTTTGTTTGCTGCAGCCTGTGACTTGAGTTTTGAATTTTAGGATCTGGTTGCTAGGTGGTGGGATATGGGTTACAGCCCCAGATCTTTCTTTGTTTTGTTTTCTATTTTGGTGGCTTGACCATCAAGTTACTATTTTAATGCAAATGTATTATTCAGAAAGTGTTTGTTTTTTGTTTAGTCACTGATCCGTGGGGATCCGTTGGTTACCCGAATCCGTCGGCGGATGGGGACGGTAACCAATATCCACCCGTTTAGTCGCCGGGGACGGGGATGGGGAAATTCGTCGAAGTTGACAGGCGGGGATCGGGAGGTATGTGCCTGCCCCCGATCCGCCCCGTTCCCATCCCTAATGGGCCGTGGGATTGAAATTGGCGGGCGTGCGATTTGGGGATTGAGATGGACGACTTGAGGAGGGTGGAGAGGAGAGAGGGATGCGGAGCCCGAGAATCCACCTTTCTTTTCCCGTCAGTCAGCAGATTCCCACTTATGTGAATTTCTTCACTAGTAGTAGTAAGCCTGGAGCTTTACCGCCGGTATGGAATTCAGCGGTATGGATTATGGTTACTAGCAGGTCTGATTCGAATGAGACTAAAAAATGGTCATTGATAAAGGTAACTAGCACGATAAGTAAGATAATCTTTGTGTAGCGATTTTGGGAGAAGTTCGTTAGTTGTTGGAAAATCATAACGGTCTTATTGTATGATTTGTAGGTTGGAATAGCAATAGGGTAGCCCACTTAATGGCTAGAAATGTCATTTCTTTGTACCTAAGTATGTGTTGTTATTTTGATTTCCTTTTCTTGTACTACCATAGTGTAATTTGTAAGATCTCTTTTTAATCAATACAAGATTAACTTTTGAAAAAAAAACATTTTTCATAGGATAGTTGTCCG